TGGAAAATGGCTTATGTATCACCTGTTTAATGAAGGTGGCAAGCAGAAGACAGGAAACTATAGGCTGGTTAGACTGACCTTGGTCGTTGATAAGATTTTAGAGTCCATTATTAAGGATGAGATTGCAAGGTGTTTGGAGGTACATGGTAAAATAGGGTTGAGTCAGCATGTCTTCGCCAAGGGAGGTCATGCCTGACAAATCTGTGAGAATTCTTTGACAAGGTAATGAGCAAGCGAGACAAAGGAGAGCCAGTAGACATGATCTGTTTGGATTTCCAGAAGGTCTTTGACAAGGTGCCACACAAGAGATTCCTAAATAAGAATAAAGCCCTTGGTATTAGGGGCAAGGTACTGGCATGGATAGAGGATTGGCTGACTGGCAGATGGCAGAGAGCGGGATTAAAGGTGTTTTTCAGGATGGCAGTGGATGACTAGTGGAGTTCTGCAGGGGTTAGTGTTGGGACCACCATTATTTAAGTTATATATTAATAATCTGGATGAAGGAACTGAAGGCATTGTTGCCATGTTTGCAGATGACACAAAAATAGATGGAAGGACAGGCAGTGTTGAGGAAGCAGGGATGCTGCAGAAGGGCTTGGACAGGCTAGGAAAGTGGGCAAAGAAATAACATGGAATACAATGTAGGAAATTGTGAGGTTATGCACTTTGGTAGGAAGAATAGAGACTATTTTCTAAACAAGGAAAGGCTTTGGAAATCTGAAGCACATAGGTACTTGGGAGTACTTGCTCAGGATTCTCTTAAGATTAACATGCAGGCTCAGTCGGCAGTTAGGAGGACATATGCAATGTTAGCATTCATTTCAATAGGGCTAGAATACAAGAGTAGAGGTGTACTGCTGAAGCTGGATAAGGCTCTGGTCAGAACACATTTGGAATATTGTGAGCGGTTTTGGGCCTCATATCTAAGGAAGGAAATGTTTGCATTTCAGGAGATCCAGAGGAGGTTTACAAGAATGATTCTGGGATGAAGGGCTTATCATATGAGGAACTGTTGAGGACTCTGGCTCTGTGCTCAATGGATTTAGAAGGATGAAGGAGAATCTCATTGAAACTTACAGAATACTGAGAGACCTGGATGGAGTGAATGTAGAGAAAATGTTTCTACTAGTAGGAGAGACTAGGACTTGAGGGCACAGGCTCTGAGTGAAGGGGTGACCCTTTAGAGCTGAGATGAGGAGGAATTTCCTCAGCCAGAGAGTGGTGAATCTGTGGAGGCCAAGTCATAGAGTCATAGAACATGGAAATAGATCCTTTGGTCCAACTCGTCTGTGATGACCAGATATCCCAATCTGTTCTTGTCCCATTTGCCAGCATTTGGTCCATATCTCTCTAAACCCGTTCTATTCTTAACCCATCCAGATGCCTTTTAAATGTTGTAATTGTACACGGCTGGACCACTTCCTCTGTCTGCTAGTTCCATACCTCACCATCCTCTGCATGAAAAAGTTACCCTTCAGGTCCTTTTTAAATCTTTCCCCTCTCACTTTATACCTCATTGAGTGTATTTAAGATCGAGATTATTAGATTCTTAATTAGTAAGGGAATCAAGGGTTATGGGAGAAGGCAGAAGATTGGGGTTGAGAAAATATCAGCCATAATTGAATGGCAGAGCAGACTCGATGGGCTGAATGGCCTAATTCTGCTCATATATCTTATGGTCTTATGGAGGCTATATCTGGAGTGCTGTGAGCAGTTTTGGCCCCCTTATGTAAGGAAATATATCATTTCAGTGACGATTAACCAGGACAATGTGTTGTATGGAGGGATTGTCTTCTTAGCAAAGGTCAAACAGGGCAGGACTCTATTGACTGTTGTTCAGAAGAATGAGAGGAAATCTCATTGAAACATATGGGATTTTTAAGGGACTTGACAGAGTAAATGCTGAGAGGATGTTTCCCCTCATGGGAGAGCCTAGGACCAGAGGGCATAGTCTCAGAATAAAGGGGTGCCAATTTAAAACTGAGATGAGGAGGAATTTCTTCTCTTAGAGGGTTGTGAGACTTTGAAACTTCTTGCTATGGAAAGCTGTGGGGACAGAGTTATTGTTTATATTTAAGGCTGAGACAGATAGATCCTTGATTGGTAGGGGAATCAAAGGTCACAGGAAAATGCAGGAAAATGGGCATATGAATGTTGGATCAGCCATGATCCTATTGAATGGTGGAGCAGCCTTGAGGATCCAAATAGCCCACTCCTGTTTCTATTTCTTATGGTCTTATGGTTGAATATCAACTGAGATACAAGTAGCGTGAGAGGCACCAAGGGACAAAATTCTTGAATGACATTCAAGAGAATTTTTTTTAGCCAGGCTGTTAAAGGGAGTCATAGATGAAATGGCAGATGCTCTGAGGAACATTTTCAAATGCAACTAATGTTAGGCTGGTTTGATCTCGGTGGTGGTCATTACTAGAATCAATACCAAGAGCCGTTTGTGTCACACAACTGTTAGTTGTAGAGGCACAAATTTAATCTGGGTTAGTCAGTATGGTTTTGTGAAGCAAAGACCGTGACTTACTTACTTTTAATGTTTTCAGGAATAATAAGGAGGATGGATGCAATGGACGTTTTCTGCATGGATTTTACTAACGCATTTGACAAGGTCCCACATGGCAGACTGACCAGAAAAATTAATGCCTATAACATACAGCTGAGTGTGGCGATTTCAGTCCAAAATTGGTTCAACGACAGGAAACAAATGATAAGGGACGATGGATGTTTTGTGAGTAGAAAGTGGTTTCCAGTGACATTTCTTGGGGCTCAGTTTTGGGTCCCTTGCTGTTTGTGTCATACATAATGATTTCAAATTAAATATCAGAGGCATGTTTGGGAAATTTGCAGACGACACAAAAATTGGCTGCGCAGTTGATAAAGATGGGGAAAGCTGTCAATTTCAGGGTGATTTAACTTGTTCGAGTGAATGAACGGAAAAGTGACAAATAGAATTCAATCTGAGGAAGTCCACAGTTATGCATTTGAGGAGCAAGGGGATTTCCAATAAATAAAGCATATTGAGAAGGGTAAAGAAAATGGGAGGCATGGAGTGTATATGCACATGTCCCTGATAGCTGGACAGATAGGTACAATGGTGAAGAAGGCATATGGAATGCTTACCTGCATTGGGCAATGTATTTAATACAAGAGCAGGTACATAATGCTGGAACTATATAAGACACAGGTTAAGCCACAGTTAGAGTTTTGTGTCCAGTTCTGGTCACCACATTACAAGAAGGACATTATTGTCCGCAGGATACTTCAAGGAGATTTACAAGAACATTGCCAGGGTTTGAAAATTGCACGTATGAGGAAAGATTAGATCAGCTGGGGTTGTTTTCCCAGCAATAGAGGAGGCTGAGGAGTGACTTAATTGCAGTGTACAAATTAATGAAAGTTAGAGAAAGATAGAGAAGACCTGTTTCCCTGAGCAGAAAGGTTAATTACCAAGGAGTGCAGTTTTAAGGTGATTGGTAGAAAGATTAGAGGGGATATGGAGAAAGCGTTTTTCACTCAGATTTGTGCCTGGAAGTCACTGCCCGTTTGGTGGTCGAGGTGGAAGCCCTCCTTTAATTTATTTAAAAAGAACCCGGACCTGCGCCTAAAGCACTGGATCCTGCAGAACTATGAGCCAGGTGTTGGAAGGTTGATTTTGAATGGGCAACTAGTTTATTCAGCCAGTGCCACATGATGGGCTGAATGGTCTCTTTTCTATACCTTAACTTGTCTCTAGTTCTACAGTTCTAATGTTTGATCTTGAGATGAGTTTCTGCCCTCATTTTCACTCCATCCTAAAACCAAATTTAGATCATCTACTAATTTTACCACTGTGTCGGTTGATCTGCTGTTGAAACTTTCATTCATAAATTCATTACTTCCAGACTTCGCTATGCCAACACACTTCCGGCTGGTCTCCCATATTTTACCCTGCATAATGTCATTAAAGACTGTGGTGCTCAGAGTTTAGCATATACCAAGCGACATTGCTCTGTATTACCCTGTGCTCACTGACCTATATTGGCTCCTGGTCAGAAACATCTTGAAATCGTCAACATTGTCTTCTAATGCCTCCTGTCCTTCATCCCTTCCGATCTTGGTTTCTCCTCTAGCCCCACTACCCTTAAAAACATCTCTACTCATCTAATTCTGATCCCTTGAGCATGCATTCTTTTATATTCTTCTCCTATTGGTGGTCGCACCTGCAATTCCTAGGTCCTAAGTTCTGATTTAATATCTTTGAGTGGCTCAGTGTCGTACTTCGTTTCATAATGCTCCTGAGAGGTGTACTTTAAAGTCGCTATACAAATATAAATAGTTGTTGTTAAATGCCCCCGATCTGGAAATTATCAGGAAATTATGAATCCTGTCGCATTATTTAAAACAAAAATTATCTGATGGTTAACCTCGTTCTTCTCTACCCATTTTTATAGATGTATGTTAACCTGCTGCATTTTCCTTTCATTTACAAAAGTAACCACTACATATTGAGGGTACTTCACTGGATGTGAGGTCCCTTGGGACAGTTCTGAGGGGTTGATTGCTGGATGATGCATGACTGCAAGATTTTGTTCTGGGGGAGGGAGGGTGGAATCTCAGCATCATTTCGGGTGCACAGTTGTGGGACTTTGAGAGAAGTTTTATTTGGAGTGCTCAGTGAAAAAGGAAAATGCAGGTGAGGGTGATGGAATGAGAAGTTGGAGGTGTAGGGTCAGGGTGGCTCCTTTAAGCGGGATGATTGACGGGGTTCTTGCAGTGTTTGTCTAGATTAATCCAGTCCGCCCTCGCTCCCGTGCTCGAGCAGGGACACGAGCCTTGGAGCTTCAAGAATCCGGAGGAGGGGAAGGTACAGTGTTTATATCAAAATCTCCAGCCCTTCAACTCTTCACTCGCTTATTTTTTTGATGCCACCCTCATTTCTCTTGAGCAGAAAGGGAGCGGGTCTGTGTGTGTATGTGGTTTATTTTATATTGTGCGTGTGTGGAGTTGGTTTTCTCTTTTATTTCTGTTTGGGGCGCTCGCTATCACAATGCTAGATCGGCGGGTTTTCTCCTCTCTCTCTCTCTCCCTTTGCTAGAACCGTCTCCAGCGCTCCGCCTAGACAGAGACAAAAACCCACACAAGATAGGCACTCCAGCGAGGCCCGGAAACCGTTGTAAAGGTGGAGAGAGAGGGAGGGAATATAAATATGAAATTGTTGAGGTGGAAGTTGGCGCTGGCGTGTGTTTTCTGGAGCAGCAGTGTTGCTGTTCTCTGTGCGTGTGTGTTACTCTTTGTTCAGGGTAAATCTAGAGCAGGCTTGGCTTTGTTCCATTACAGCACTAGGCCCAAAAAGGCTGCAGTCTGGCTCCATTTACCAACACATTACAAATGATGACTCCCCCATTTGTATTTCACAGGTTCGTTTTTCTTTCGCTTTAAGAATTATTTGTGTAGTAACTTTAGTAAGGAATTTCGTTATGTTTTCGACTTACAGGACTGTTGATATTAGGAATTGATATCCTAAATTGAACTCTCTTCTCTTTCTTCCACCACCCGCCCCCAACCATGCCCTGATATTTCACAACAGATGCTGGATGAGTTATTTAAAGTACCACTGTACTGATTTGTACGTGTTATTTTTAGTTCGTCTGTCTTACTGCAAGTTCGTTCCTGATGAATTTTAAAATGGTTGTGTGCTGCGAATTAATTCTTTTAATTGTGCTGTAGTGTTTTGTGGGATAGCAGAACACTACTTCATGTACATGCTGTTCAATTTTTGCACGTGTATAGCTTCAATCATGTCCTTTTATTAAATCCTGTAGTTTTGCTTTAGTCATTTTATTAGGCAATGAAATGACAAGTGCTTCTTCACCACCTACTTTTACATAGGGCACTTTTTATCTAGTTAGTCCTGTGGAGCAGAATGAAGAACATAAAGAATGGTGCTTTTAAGCACAAATTGATGTAGTAAGTTAAATACAAATATAACCTGAGATGTAGTGCAGATGTTCTACAAATAACAATTATGTTATAGTACCCAGTAATTTCTATTAATAATATTGAGGGAAAATTATTTATTCACCTATCTTAATCTCAAGCGAATGCAAAAACTTTCAGTTTGTAAAACGTGTTAAACATTTGACTTTTGAGATAACCATCTGCTTTCATTAACACTTATCTACAAAGTTACAGAAGCTACTGTGAACTTGTAAGAAATGGAGACCCAACAATGAGTAAATTAAAATGCCCTTATAAAACAGGGCAGACTACAGCAGTGATGACTTAATCAACACTAATGCTTTTTAAACACAACTTTGTACTCATTTCCAATATCTCATCCATGCTGTAGAAAGAAGCACACCTCCTCTTGTTTGGAATGGCATATAATATTAGTTTTTTTTTTCTGTCAGGTGAGTGCATTACTGTGATCTTGTGTGATGCAGAGGTTTTACATTGGTGTTTTTTTAAATCAGAAAAGGCAAGTGAAATGTGAAGCAGTCCATAGAACATAGAGAATTGAAACAAGGAAGGATTTTTTTTTATCAGAGAGGGAGGGAATGAGAAGGAATGGGACTAATGTCCTGTCCTACAGGGTGATTCTGTCCTGGTTCTGTCAGAATGGAAGACAATAGTTCATCAATATTACTTTTATCATTCATCAGATAATGTCCTTCATCAGAAGGGGCACTGTTTAAAAATATGCTTTGTTATTTTGCATCACAAATTTTGGTAAAAATTCTGTTTTAGTTCTGACTGTGTGCTTTGAGGTCTATAAGGAATAATTAGTGCGTTAAAATGAGATCAGATAGCAGTGTTAAACTAATCTTGGTAGAAGTACCGAAGGAATTGAGTTGTTACAGTATTGATTATTGCTAAATTCTCAAGATAGTCTCTTTCAAATGTACCTCACTCTAAAAGTATAGGAACCTGACTTGAACAGTTTGTTTATTCCCTAATTGATGTGATTCCATGAATTTGCAACTTTTTAGGGAAAAAACTGCATGCATCGCATTTAATTTTTGTAGTTCCTACCAGTGATAACTTGAGAAGAGAAAAAATATGTATAGAATATGAAAAAACAATTCATTCAGCCGTGCAGCCCATACTGCATGTGAGCTGTTTCTCATTCTGTGAATCTCACCTCATGCTTTTCATGTTAAAACATCAAAAGTCTGTAGATAGGGCTAAGTATTTTTGTTTACACAGACTTCATGAACAATGGAGTCTAAAATTTTGGTACTTTTGATTTTGAACCCACAATGACTTGGCTTTATTTCCTTCCACAACACATTTACATGACATTCCTTTTTTGTTTAGAAGGTTCAAGATTCCATATTTATAATATATGAATTCTTAACCCCACCCATGCCAGTACTGGCTTTAGCATTCAAAATGGCCATCTGCCCTTTCTGCACAAAGAAACAAATCCCAGAGAGTCTGCAAATCTGTCACAGTTGGTACTGTAGCCTGAGTGGATGCATGATTGCTGTTTGGACCCATCTGTCAAATGGCCTGATCTGCAACAATGAAAAATCAAAGTCAAGACTGGGTCAATAGATAATGACTTATTTTTGGTGCCTTCTTAAGCGCTTAGAGAATGTTTGCATGATTGTGAGATTGTGCTGTGCAATTCTAATATTTTTTTTAAAAGGTGATATTTCCATTAGCTATAACAAAGGTTCTTTTGTCCTAGATGATCAAAGGTTAACAGTTGCTTGTGTGAAATGGGTACATTTTGTCAATAGAAAATAGCAATGAGTGTGCATATTGTACAAATCCTGATTAGAAATTTATGTCACTATCTGAAGCTAAAAATATCAAGTTTGTCATGTATCAGGGTCACATCTTCAATCTGATTTACCTCCTAGCTGAGAAATCTCCAAAGATCATAAACTCAGCTGCAACCATATCAACGTTATAACCATCAATTGTTATTGTTCAGTCCTTGGGCTATGGTATCATGACAACTCCATGCTTGAAGAGGGTGTTAATAGAGTCATCAATTTACAAGTCTTGGATAGAATTATGTTTTACTTTAAATTCAAAATTGTTGAAGGAAAAATGTTTGCTAAAAATAAGTCTTCTGGAGGCAGCTTTAGAAAATAAGGTGACTGGGTTTTATACTTGTCAGAACTGACAATGAAATCAAAATTGTTAATTTTTTAAAATCTGAGAACATAACGCAAATAATGGGTAAAGAGGTTTAAAACTGAGAAATGGGGCAGTATTGAATTATCTCTAGAGAAAGAGTGTGGGTCTGTATTGTTATATCAACTGCAGAATGCAGCATCTTTGAATTAAGAATTGAAATTAAAAAATAAGTGCTAGCTGATTTTTAAAAATGATTGTAATGATGAATAGAAGCTTTAATTGTAACTTTTTTGTACAAAGTGCAATTTTGGAGTCTTCTGTTCTATGAGTGTTATCTTTATGTGAATAAATATAGTGCAAACTGGCTCATTGATATTTTTACAAAACCTGAGTCAATTCCTAAACAAGGGGCCATCAGAAAGGTTTTAAAAGAAGTTTTGATTGGAACTCAAGTTTGGTGTTAGCTAAAAGTTTGAAAAATGGTAAGACAAAGGAAAGGCTGATGTTTGCGTTGCTGGAAAGGAATGAGTTAAATTAGATGGCTTTCAATGAGCATATGTTTGATAATGTTCTGCAGAGAAGAAAGTTTGGGTGAGGGGAAATGCCTTGGTCATGCTCATTGTCATCCCTGTTCTTCCAACCACAAAAGCAGATGGACACACAGCAAACAATCCACTTCAGAAAGGATGTCTTCATATCATGCATCTTTTGGCTCAAGGGATAATCCTTGAGAGGCAGCTCCTCCAATAAGTGCTGCACATGAAGCTCCTGTGTGATATTGTAGATTGTTCTTAGCATTGACGTAATTTATTAAGCCACTGTTCATCATGTTGATGCATGTTAGCACAGAGGAGGCCTTGCCATTTTCCTTACCGGTGACTCTCTAGTACAGTGTTCAAAGTTTTTAGGATTTTCATGTTGCGCTTTCAAGCATTCTTGAAATGAGCTTTGAGTGTCATACTGATCGGGTGCCAGTTATTACTATTAATAAAACTAAAATTGTAATGGTGAAAGATTGGAAGTAATGTACGTGTGTGTGATGTTCAAAAGATAAGCTTTTTCTTGTATCCTGCCGTGGAATACAAGTCGTGTTTGGAGTTTCTCCTTCCGCAGTATGATTTGGTTTTGTTAGAGATGAATTGTTGAGGGATGGGGAATGGTATTTGGTACAAAAGAAGATTCCTGAAGGCACCTTAAGACGCAGAGGAGGAGGTAAGAATCCCATTGTGATGAAGTGATGTTGACACCAATAATGTTAACTATATGAAGGAATAAAGTTGGAACCATTTGAGAAAGCTTTATTTTAGAAAAAAAAACCATCTGAAGAATTCAAAGAAATGGGATTTTTATTGCTGCTTTGAGAAAGACGTAGAAGGTATAACTTGTCATGGAGGGACTTGGGGATATGAATAATGAGATTGTAAACCTCACCTCCTCCTGCAGACACATGTTAATGATTTCATATGGGGGGGAGGACGGTAGACAAAGTCAGCCTTACAGAGCAGAAGAAACCCTTCAACCTATCAGATTTGTTTCAACCTATCTACGCTAATCACAACTTTCAGCACTTGGCCTATAGCCTTGAATGTTATGACACTCAGGTGCTCATCCACATACTTTTTTTAAAGATAGCAAGGTCTCCTGCTTCCACTGCCCTCCCAGACAGTGAATTCCATATTTCCACCACCCTCTAAGTGAAAAAAACTTCTCCTCAAACCACCTCTAAACCTCCTGCACATCATCTTAAAGTTACACCCTCTTTGTTATTGAATATTCAGCTAAGAGAATCAACTGCTCCTATCCACTCTGTCCATGCTCCTCAATCTTATACACTTCAATCAGGCCACCCCAATATAATGGATTTGGTAGGGTAAGCAAATGGTGCCACTTTAAAATGTTTTTACCTTTTTAGTTGGGATGGTCTCAAAAATCAGCATAATCCTTTTGTTAACAGGGCATTTATTCATAGAATTGGAGTCAAAATAACTTCATGTTCTCCCTTTAGTACCACAGCTTTAAGAATTTCCATTAATTCTTGTTGTAATTAGGTGACTAGTGTGACCCAGTTCTGAGGGAAAGGATTAGTGGTGCTATATCTTAACACAATAACTCATTTGATCTTTATCTTGGAGCAAATTACTGCAGATGAAGGATTTTTTTACTGAAAACAAAAAAGTGCTGGAAATCACAATGGTTCAGGCAGCATCCATGGAGAAACAGAGCAAGCTAACGTGTTGAATCTAGATGACATTTTCATCAGAGCCGACATGAAGTGTGTGGAGGATGCGGCATTTGTGCTGTAGTGGGGGGAATAGAGTTGGAGCAA